GGCTGGGGCTGGGCTGGGTCTGAGGCTGGGCTGAGGCTGGGCTGGGGCTGGGCTGGGCTGGGGCTGGGCTGGGGTTGAGGCTGGGCTGGGCTGGGCTGGGACAACCAGGATGGCGGGCCTCTCCCCTCCTGCTTGTCGTCTGTGGATGATGTTCTCGGGGCAGGGATCTGAGAGGGTGAAGGCAGAAGCTGCAAGGCTCCTGGGGCCTAGGTTCCGTAATGTTCCACCCTCTTCTATCAGTGGAAGCACGTCCCGAGGCCAGCCCAGATTTAGGGGGCAGTAGACTCCGCATTCTGATTGGAGTCGCTATAAAATATTAGGGGCACGCTCCTCGCATCCCGGCCTGACAGCCGCCCAGATCACCTTTGCCAGATGGCGGCTCGCCGGTGGGTCCCCGGGGCCTCGTTAACACAGTTCTGTTGTGGGTCCCCCAGCAAGGGCCTCCTCCGAAGTCAACTCCGAGGGTGACTTTGAAACCCGAAGAGAATGGGCAGAGGCTGGAGCTGAGTCTCGCTGGACGAAGGCCAGGAAGGTCGGGCAGGTGGAGTCGTGTCTGGGGCCAGCTGCCCGGGGCCAGCAGATGTGCAGAAAGCAGAGCAGGGAGTTGGTTCCAGGCCCTGGCACTCAGGGCGGCCGCTGTCACAGCTCCGGACCCCGGATGCCATGGCAGCCACAGCTCGGGCTCTGTTCCGGGGCTGGCCTGCTGGCCAAGGCCTGTCCTACCTGAGTGGGCACTGGGCCTGGCATCAGGGTATGATAAAGGGGCTGAGGGCAGCGGTCCGTCCTCCCAGGACAGATGACAAAGTGAGCAACAATAACACCAGTCACCCAGTGGCAGCTGGCTCTCAGGGCGTGCTGACCTCGCTCCTCATGCCCGGCCTGGGCCCAAGCCCTTTACAGGGATAATCTCATTCCATCGTCCAATGTGCCTGCAGGGAGGGACTACAGTGTGGTGGTCAACAGCACCAAATCTGGAGGTAGCTCTGCCACCTGCTGGCTGTGTGATCTTGGGCAAGTTACTGGACCTCTCTGTGCCTTAGCATCCTCATATTTTTCACCTGCCAAATTCGGATAAAATTGATTCTGACCTCACAGAGTAGTTAATGAGGAATAACTGCATTATCACTTGTAAAGTGCTTAAGTCAGTGCCTGGCCGATATATTATTATTATTATTATTATTATTACTATTATTACTATTATTATTAGCCCTATTTTATAGATGAGGAAATGGAGGCACAGAGAGCGTAGGCAACTTGCTCAAGGTCACACAGCAAGTAAAATACAGACAGTCATGAACCCACCTTCTCCACCTGCACCCACCCCTACCCCCACACCGCCCCTGCCCTTAGCTCAGAGCTACTTAGGCAGAGGGCAGCAGGGTGATGTGACTCGGGGACCCTTGGCACTGTGCTTAGTGGGGTGCTTACCAGCTCTGCAAGCGGTCCGCCTGCCCAGGCCTGCTGAGCCCCGCTGTGTGTGAGGCAAGTGTCAGCCACTGAGAGAGGTGCAGACACTGGGAAAGGAAGACCGGAATGAACCCAGCAGGGATGTTCTGTGCCCGCGTGGGGACCTCAGGCAGGCCCTGGCACCCGGTAGTGGGGGGCGCTCCAGGGGGCAGTTCTGCCAGCTCTGCTGTGACGTGACAAAAGCCAGGGCAGCGTGACGGGTTTTCATAAAGCTGGGTTCACTCTGTGTAAAACTCGCCATCCCTTTTACTCTTTGGGTGTTACAGTCTTTTCAGTGAAATCTGTGTAAGAGATGTTTTGTTCTTTTTGCCTTCATATCCTTTTGGGTCAAATTAAAGTTAGCCATTCCTCCTTGGCCCTAGATACGCATATGGAAATGGACATAGATTTCAGGGTGAGGGGGGACAGTTTTACGGCTCGTGAAATTGCTAGTGTGTGTGTGTGTGTGTGTGTGTGTGTGTGTGTGTGTCACAGCTCCGGACCCCGGATGCCATGGCAGCCACAGCTCGGGCTCTGTTCCGGGGCTGGCCTGCTGGCCAAGGCCTGTCCTACCTGAGTGGGCACTGGGCCTGGCATCAGGGTATGATAAAGGGGCTGAGGGCAGCGGTCCGTCCTCCCAGGACAGATGACAAAGTGAGCAACAATAACACCAGTCACCCAGTGGCAGCTGGCTCTCAGGGCGTGCTGACCTCGCTCCTCATGCCCGGCCTGGGCCCAAGCCCTTTACAGGGATAATCTCATTCCATCGTCCAATGTGCCTGCAGGGAGGGACTACAGTGTGGTGGTCAACAGCACCAAATCTGGAGGTAGCTCTGCCACCTGCTGGCTGTGTGATCTTGGGCAAGTTACTGGACCTCTCTGTGCCTTAGCATCCTCATATTTTTCACCTGCCAAATTCGGATAAAATTGATTCTGACCTCACAGAGTAGTTAATGAGGAATAACTGCATTATCACTTGTAAAGTGCTTAAGTCAGTGCCTGGCCGATATATTATTATTATTATTATTATTATTACTATTATTACTATTATTATTAGCCCTATTTTATAGATGAGGAAATGGAGGCACAGAGAGCGTAGGCAACTTGCTCAAGGTCACACAGCAAGTAAAATACAGACAGTCATGAACCCACCTTCTCCACCTGCACCCACCCCTACCCCCACACCGCCCCTGCCCTTAGCTCAGAGCTACTTAGGCAGAGGGCAGCAGGGTGATGTGACTCGGGGACCCTTGGCACTGTGCTTAGTGGGGTGCTTACCAGCTCTGCAAGCGGTCCGCCTGCCCAGGCCTGCTGAGCCCCGCTGTGTGTGAGGCAAGTGTCAGCCACTGAGAGAGGTGCAGACACTGGGAAAGGAAGACCGGAATGAACCCAGCAGGGATGTTCTGTGCCCGCGTGGGGACCTCAGGCAGGCCCTGGCACCCGGTAGTGGGGGGCGCTCCAGGGGGCAGTTCTGCCAGCTCTGCTGTGACGTGACAAAAGCCAGGGCAGCGTGACGGGTTTTCATAAAGCTGGGTTCACTCTGTGTAAAACTCGCCATCCCTTTTACTCTTTGGGTGTTACAGTCTTTTCAGTGAAATCTGTGTAAGAGATGTTTTGTTCTTTTTGCCTTCATATCCTTTTGGGTCAAATTAAAGTTAGCCACTCCTCCTTGGCCCTAGATACGCATATGGAAATGGACATAGATTTCAGGGTGAGGGGGGACAGTTTTACGGCTCGTGAAATTGCTAGTGTGTGTGTGTGTGTGTGTGTGTGTGTGTGTGTGTTTAATATATCAGAGAGGAAGGGAGAGGGAGAGAGAGATAGAAACATCAATGATGAGAGAGAATCATGGATCAGCTGCCTCCTGCACGCCCCACACTGGGGATCAAGCCCACAACCCGGCATGTGCCCTGACCGGGAATCTAACCATGACCTCCTGGTTCATAGGTCGATGCCCACCCACTGAGCCCTGCCGGCCGGGCTGGAATTGCTACGGTTTTGCTATACAGTTCGTATGTTTCTCGAGGGGGGAATGGGGTCATGTCACATTTGCCCTCAAGCCCCCAGCACAGCGCTGGACATCAGTCGTTGTTGGTGGGTGTCTCTGGCCCTGGTGGAAGGATGGCCAAGGCTCTCCCAAAGGGAGATACAGCCCAGAGCCGGGATCTGGGCAGCGGGGCCTGGGACTCGGACAGGAGGGATGCAGTGACACCGGAAGCCTTGCCTCAGGGAGCAAGAAAGAGCATCAGCTCTGACCTTGAGTCAGGTCTGCCCAGGGAAGGGCATGGCGTCTGACCACGCACCCCCACTCTGCCCCAGCTGCCAACAGCAGGTGCTGCGAGACGGCCAGGGAGGCCTCTTCCCAGCTTCCCTGGGCCTGACCTGCCCCGGCAAGCTGGGGGAGCCCCAGGGAGACGCCTGCATCCTCTGCCTTATGAACATTCAGTAATCCCCCCACATCTGGCCTGGGGAGATGAAGAGCCCCATGGAGACCAGAGAGCAGGACTCAGCCGGGCAGAACGCTCGGGCCGGCTGGACAGAGCGTGGCGGGGTTCACACCGCCACCCACACTGCCACCTGGTGCACCCCCTCCCCCCAGTAGATGCTTCCTATTCATATCCACACGCCCCCTCCTTAGGATGAATTAGCCATTATCCTTTGTGGTCCTTAAAGGGGCCGTGACAAAGTCGTCCCTGTTCCCAGATGAGCAAGTCTTCGTTCCCTTCTGTTCCCTGCGACGCGGAGATGCCGAGGGGCCCGGTTTGAACTCTTCTCCGCCGCGTGTTGTGTGGGGGAGCAGCAGGAAGCGAGTGGGCGGGAGTGGAACTGGGGACGGTGCGTTTCTCAGCGGGGCATGGTGGCGGCAGTGACATTTCCACCTGATGGTACACGGTACCACGGTACCACGGGGCCCACGGGTTTGCTGTTACTGTTGGCATTATTAGCGCTGCTGACGCCCAGAGCCGAACACACCGCCTGACGTGTTGTGGGCCGTCCAGTCTGAACCGAATGATCAGTAATAACAGTAATCACATGAGGTCGCCTTTCTCGAGGGCGAACCGGGTGTCAGACACCGCACTAAGCACTTCATAGTCCTTTCTGCTATAATATGCGGTATAAGCGTTTGTAAAAATCACCCCACCGTGCAAAATCGGGTCATAAAAACCACGAGGCTAATGGGGGAAATGGGGTGAGCGAGCCACAGTCAAAAACTTCATCAGAGACACTTACTAAAGATGGTCGCGCGGTTCTGCACATCGCCAGTGGTCCGGGAATGCAGAAATACACGGGAAGTAGGGCGCTTTGCCTTGGGGAAGGCCTGGGATTTGCTTGAGGAAGTGGGCACAGAGGGTGGCAGCTTGTGAGTCGTGATGGTGGAAGGAGGGAAGTCGGAAATCGGAAGGACAGATGCCGGGCCAGGCGGACACAGGTGAGCTCCTAGCACACTCAGGACGCGGAGGGTACTTAGGGGAGGGGACGTTGTGTGGAGCTGCGGCTCCGTCCAGCTGAGTGTGGCTCTCCACGTTTGCCTCCTGTTTCTTGCAGACAAAATCACGCACAAGCCAACGCAAAACTGAAGTTGGGCTCACGTTGCCCTCCAAATATATTCAGTGCATTGGAACCAAAGCGTGAGCACAGAACCGCCTGAACTTGTATTTTCTGCAAGGCTCTGCCCTTACTGTGCCCATTACACAGATGGAGTGCCCGAGGCTCAGCGAGGCCCAGCCCTTTCTCAGGCCACGTGCGGAGTGAGTGGGCAGCTGGGATTGAAGTCAGTCTGAGGCCGGAGCAGGGTTCTCCCTGAGGACCGCTCTGTGGGAGCCAGGTCAGGCTCAGTCTCAGACGCGGCGGCACTTGACTTGCTCTGCCCCATCCTCTCTCTCCTGGTTCCTGGCGAAGACCAGCCTGGCCTGCGCCCCCCTGTCCTTGACCGACTCCACTTCCCTCTCCACCCTGTCATCAGAGCCGGCTCTGTAACGATGGGCATCTGCTGATTTTACACCGAGGGCTGGCAGGTAGTGACGATCGGGCTTCGCGCACCGCACGGCCTTTAGAAACATTTCAGCCAGCGGTTCTAGAGCGGCCAAGTCCGTACGTCAGCGTCGGCGAGCGAGCTGGCCGGGTTCCAATAAGACTTTATTTATGGATGCGGAGATTTGAATTGCATACGATTCCCACCTGTCATGAAACATTACTCTTCTTTCCATTTTGTTCAACAGTTTAAAAATCTAAAAACTATTTGTAGTCTATCTTGCCGTTCAACAGCGGCTGGGACGTAGATGGGAACGTGGTTTGGGCTGTCGTTGGCCAACGCCTGTTTTACACCCCTGCTTCATACCCTCCACGCGATCCTGTTGTCCGGTTATCCTACAGCCCAGCCTGGCCGGTGTGGCTCAGTGGTTGAGCGTCGACCTATGAACCAAGAGGTTATAGTTCGATTCCGGTCAGGGCACATGCCTGGGTTGCGGGCTTGATCCCCAGCGTGGGTCGCGCAGGAGGCAGCTATCAATGATGCTCTCTCATCATTGAAGCTTCTATCTCTCTCCCTCTCCCTTCCTCTCTGAAATCAATTTTTTAAAAAAAGAAATAAAAAGAAACAGGACAAACTCTGCTGCCCCCCGTCCCCCCGCCACAGGCCCTGTGGGAACTGGTGCCAACCGCGAGGCCAGCTTCTCCCCTGGCAGGTGGCGCATTTAGTGACTTCCCGCCTCAGAAATGGTTCTCTGATATCTACTCTTCATGCCTGGCACCCCGATTCACCTCCGAGCTGCCTTGGAGGCTGCTCTCTGGTCAGGGGGCTGAGAGGCCTTTAAAGGAAGCCTCCCCCAGCCTCCCAGGCACACCTGGGCACACCTGGCAGACATGGCGGGGGGCGGGGGTGGAGAAAGCAATCCATGAGGCTGCATCCCCCCACCACCAAGATTAGACTACAAAGCACAAGCAACTGGGCTCCTTGAGGCCGATCCCCACGCAGCCTCCTGAGGGGCTTGTTCTAATTTGCTCTCCCCCATCCGCCTGGGCGTGCAGAGGGCCCTGCGGCATTGCAGGGAGGTGTCTGGAGACGGACGAGGGAGCCTCCGGAGCTCCTCACAGCGGGAGGAAGCAGGGAGCCACGGGGGAACCAGAACATCGTTTCCTTGCCTTTTAGTTCTTTCTTTTTCTTTCTTTCTTTCTTTTTTTTAAATAACCACACTCCCCTCAGGATTTCTTCTTTCTCAGTCACTTTTTTAAAAAATCCAAACAGAACTGGCTTCAAGTTTTAACACCTTGCACCCTGGACAGAGGTTGCCTTCTCGCCTCTTCCTTCCTTTCTGCTCCTCGTAATAACATGCCAGTCCCGTGCCCCTCTTCCCTTTTCTAAATGCTCCCAGAGCTCATGACTGTTGTCTTGGGGGGGGGCGGGGTCCTGGGTCAGGGCAAGACTGGGCAGCTCCCTGGGGCGTCTCTCCCTGGGATGTGAGAGGGAACCTGCCCACTGCCCGCTGAGCAGACCGAGGACCCAGGACAGGTCAGGGGGCATGGAGGGGAGGGGGGGAGGGGGGACACACTTGGGGTCAGATGGACCTGAAATCAAATCTCACTTTGCTGGGTGACCTCAGGCAACTTGCTTAACCTTTCTGAGCCCAGGTCCCCCGCTATAAAACGGGCAGGAGTCGCTTCGCCCCGCGGTAAATGTGGGGATGAACCGGGTATTGTGTGCCACGTGTTTGCTCTGAACCCGAGGCTGGCGTCATTGTTGTCAGAGGGAGGGGCCCAGCAGGACACCCTCCCGCCCACGCTGAGTGCATCTCTGGCCCCTGGGCTTCCTCCCAGGCCTCCCTCCTCCCCCGTCTGTCTGCTCCCCCAGAGTCCGGGAGCCACCCTGCGGATGGGAATCCTAATGAAGCTCTTTTCCTTGCTCCCAGAGAGCAGTTAATTGGTCCAGAGATCGCAGGGGAGACAGACGCCCTCCCCCAGCCAACTAGCCGGGTTGTCGGTGTTATCGGCCCCCAGCTCCTTAACACCGATGTCCCTCTCATTGACCACGGGCCCAGGATCAATCAGAGCCTCGTGGGTTCTCCCAGGGCAGCAGGGAGGCTCGGGGCAGCGGGAGGGAGGGGCGGATCTCCTCCGCTTCTGAACCCAACATCCGTCAGCAGGGGGTGGTACTGGCCCAGGCTGAGCCCTGGCTGCGCAGCTGCCTTCAGGCGATTCTGCATCCAGCCCAGCTCAGCCCTCGGCCGCCTGCTGCTGAAGGGGCTGCGGACGACGGCAGCATCCATCCTCATCCCTCATCCTACTCGCCCCTCCCACATCGTCACGGAGGCTTTTCCTGGCCCTGGCGTCCTCCCCGACCTGGAGGGAACTGGCAGGATGAGTTTCTCACAGCTGCTGTCCCAAGTGACCACCAACTTAGTGACTTCAAACAAGGCGAGTGTTGCCCGTACAGTTCTGGAGGCCAGGAGTCTGGAAATCAGGTGTCGGCGGTAGAGGCCCTTCTGGAGGCGCCAGGGGAGAAGCCATCTCCTGGCCTGGCCCCGCGTCCGTCCAGGGGCCTCCTGCGTCCCTCAGCTCGTGGCCCCGCCCCCTCCCGCCTCTGCTTCTCTCTTCACATCTCCTCACTCTGACTCTGCTGAGTGCACACGTGGGTGGGAGCCTGTGAGTGTGCATGAGTGTGTTAGTGCAAGTGTGCGTGTGCGTGTCCGTGTGCACTGGCACACACATGCCCTCCCTCCGTGTGAGCATCCGCGCGCACCCCGGGCACCCGCTTTATTAACGAGGACACTGCAAGGAGAGGGCCTGTTGTTTCCGGTGTCGGCATCAGCGTCTGACAGCTTCGTGGAATTGAAATATCTTACTTAATGCGGCTAAGAGTCATTTTAAATATCAACTGTTGACGCTCGAGGACTCGAGCCCAAAAGGGCATTGTGTGTTTCCCCAGCTGGAGAAGAAATCGCTGTTAGGCAGCGATTTCTCCCCTGCCCGTCTCATGTCTAAAATCCCAATTATCCGTCCTGCCTCTTCCCTGTGCTGCCATCGTGTACCCGGCACCCCGAGCCCATCTCTCCATCTCGGAACGGAGTCGACCGAGCGGCGGGGGCGGAATCAGGACACCCTGTGATGGGCCAGGAGAGCAGATTCTCTGTGTGGGTCCGTCTCCCAGCCCGGCCGAGCCTAAGCCCAGGCTCCCTCCTCTACCTGCTGCCTCCACGTGAGAGCCTCCTGGCTCCCGCTGCCGCCGCCAGAGAGCCGGGGACGCTCTCAGTGCCGTTTTGGAAACCGTTCCAAGACATCTCGTCACACGCACAAAGCGGGGAGCAGAACAGCCTGAGATGAGGCCTGTCTCCTGCTTAAAAGTGGGGGGCGGGGAGGTGATGCGTTTGCATAAAGAAATTCTGAGAAGAGACTCAAGAAGCTGATCTCCGTGGTTTCCTCGCGGTGTTGGAGCCGGGATGGGCCAGCAGGGGGTCAGGGATGGGGGGCACGTTCACTGTGCACCTTCTCACTTACTCTTTGAACGTTGACTCCTGTGCGTATCTTTTCTGTAATAAATCAACACATAAGCGATCCGAGAGGTGGGTGAGTGCAGCGGCTCACCAGCCCCCGGGGCCACGCCGCTGACTGGTCCTCATGAGATGGAGAGCGAGGCAGCAGGTCAGCCGGGAAGAGGTGCCTCTTGCCCACCTTCACTGCTGGTCATCCCAGAGGGGCCAGGCTCAGGTCGCTCCACCAGAGACACAAACAGAGGTGACCGGGCCTGGGGTCAGGCTGGTGAGAGAGCTTCACTGGGGCAAGAGGCTGAGAGGGGTGGCCTCTGAAGGGGGCCTGCCATTTCCTTGCTGCCCCTGGGGAAGCAGATCACACGCTCCGCCGGCAGCTGAGGGGCTGAGGCAAGACCTCTCTCTCAATAAGAAGCATTAGGTAACCGAGGGGCCATAGCAGATCCTTTGTTGGTGGCTGGGGACACTTGGGGTCCATGTCCATAGGGAAGCCAAAGAATTAGCCAGGCAAGGGAATCTGTGCCCCCCTGATGCTTGCCACAGAGCCCTGAATGGGCCCACGTGGGGGGCGGGGGGGATCCTGCCACACCTTCCTTGTCTTTCTCTCTGAACCTCCCCACATCACCCCCATTCCTTCCACTCCCCACCAGTGACTCAAACACTTGCTCCCCCATTTGACGGGTATTGGCGCAGCACCTGCGGTGTGCCAGGCATTTACATCCTCTTGCAATGCTCACATCATTGTCCCCATTTCTCAGATGGGAAAACTGAGGCTTGCAAGGATCCATAATGCACCCAGGCCACACTCCTAAGAAAGAGCAGACATCAAATCAAAGTCTACATGTCTCTGCGTCAGAAACCCCGGCACTTTCTCCAACGCTCCCTCGTGGCCCGACCATGGGTGAGCCCTGCTACAGGGCGTGGCGTCCATCCCCCTGGACCCAGGGCT